AGGGGAGGAGACAGTGACAGACAGCTTTTCAGAAAAGCCAAGGACTGCCGAGGGAGGAGCTCTGAAGGGATGAGTGATGACGAATACACACAGCATGAGTTTGTCAGCACGGAGATTCTACCTCTCCATCTTCACATGCACATGGAACTGTCCGTCTGTAAACTGCAGGAAGGTCTGGGAAGGACTCACAACAGTCCCTCCCCAGTGAGGCGGGAGCAGGCAGACAAGAGAAAGCCAACCTCTTCTTGTCTGCTGGGAAATGAGAGCAGGCCTCTGCACACTACCCACCTGCTGAGCACAGTCCCAGCCTCCTGACTCATCACACACTTCTGTCTACAGTGCTGGCTTTTTCCATTAGCACATCTTGCTTTAGCAGTTAACATAATAGATAAGTAAGAAGAAAAGCTAGAAAATTCTCAAGGCTAGAATGAAAAATTATTTATATTTAAATTTTAAGCCAATTTGTATGGAACTACAAAAGATCTCAGATAACCAAACCAATCCTGAGGCAAAAAAACCCAAAAACAACACATACATGCACATACACAAAATAAATATAATTTAAAAAAATTAATGAAATCATTCTTATATGAATTGCAGTATTATTCCCAATAGACCAAAATATGAAAAAGGTGTCTATCATTAGAAAAATAGATAATGAAACTGCGGTGTGTGTATATGTGTACATATATATACATATACATATATATATACACACACAGTGGAATGGCCTCCACTCTTAAGATCCTGCTATTTATGATAGCATGAACTAACCTAGAGGTTATTATGCTAAGGGAAGTAAACCAGACACAGGAAGAAGCCACATAATCTTATTTATATAAAATCTTTAAAAAAATAAAAAACCCAAATCTCAAATACACAGAAACAGAAAACAGTGGTGTGCAGGGGAAAGAACATCAGGAGTGGGCTAAAGGGTATGGTAACGCAGATAGATAAATCCTCAGTTCCAAGCTACAGCAGGAAGCCTGCAGCTAACTAGAGGATACCTTAAACTAGAAATTTGCCATAACTGCATTTTAGATTTTAGGGGATTATTAACACACACACACACACACACACACACACACACACACACACACACACACACAGTGATGATGTAGGATAGATGTATATAGCTTGGACTATAGTAATCATTCCATTATATTAAGTCAAAATACTATACTGTACACTTTATAATACACAATAATCAGCTGGGCGGTGGTGGCACACGCCTTTAATCCCAGCACTTGGGAGGCAGAGGCAGGCGGATCTCTGTGAGTTCGAGGCCAGCCTGGTCTCCAAAGTGAGTTCCA